TAACTGGGACTAAACAACTAGATGAAGATTTGGCATTGATCCCTCTCAAGGGAAGGAGTGAAAGTCCTGTATTAAGAAGCTGCTGCCATGTGAACATGGGCCCCTGTAGTCATTCAAAAGAAGCTACAGGGATTATAGCTATAGCAGATGGTTGCTCTTGTAGTCCTTTGCTTACACAAGTGCTAAATTAAAGCCCACAGTAGATAATATTAGCAGTAAGGCAGCTCCTGTTCATTTTGTACTCTGTGACTCTTCTTCCGCATGTTAGACATTGCAACACAAGACCCAGCTGCACCTTTAACTGTGGAAGGGAGATTGCTAAGGAGAGGACGTCACAGTGCTTTCCCAGCCAAAAGGACAAATGGGGAAAAAATTCAACTGAGAGGTTAAGAGTTTCAAGTCTCACAACCACCATATGAAGGTCCAGAAAAATATTGGCCATGGTGAGGGGGAGACAGTTGTCATTTTTTCCCCAAAGCTAATTTTGTCTTTGAAAAATTCAAATACAGTTGGATTGTGGAATATCTTTGTTTAGAATGTTGGATACACTGTTTACATGTTATTCATATATTTACTTCCACATTTCTTCTGGTCTCAGTTTTCTTTTCAGAGTTCTTTAAAAATGTGAACTGATGCTTTATGTCTGCTTGGACTGTGGAATACTAGATGAAACACATGTTTTCTCTGTTTTACTAATACTAATAATTTACTAATACTAATAATTTAGTATTAAATTATATAATAATAATAATAATAATAACAACAATAATACTCTTTTATTTATACAAGATACAAAATACAATATAACAACATTGAAAGTAATAACACATTTAAAACCCAAACATATAAAGTTAACAAGAGCAATATAATTAATAAAATATGGCAATAGTTGATACTTAAAAGAGCCATACAATCAATTTAGCCTTCCCCGTCTAAAGAGAGTGGTCTGGCTGCAATCTTAGGCATTATCAAAGGCCTGCAGAAAGAGCCACTTTTCAAGCTCTTTCCAAAAATACAGTAGTGTGGGGGCTTGCCTAAGTTCCCTGGGGAGGATGTCCCAGAGCAGGGGGCCACCACCGAGAAGGCCCACTCCCTCGTTCCCACCAACTGCACTTGAGACAAACGCGGGACTGAGGCAGATCTTAGCGCCTGCACCAGTTCATGGAGGGAGATGCGATCACAAAGATAGGTTGGACCCAAACCATGTACGGCTTTCCAGGTGATAACCTGCACTTCAATAGGGGCATGGTGTGCTCCCTATAGTAGCATAGTTTTACTGTACGTTTGCTTCCTGCTTTTGATCAAGGGAAATAGGTTCTTTGTACTTCAAGTGTTCCTTTGATATCAGGACCTCACAGCTCCATTTAGAACAGAAAATAAAGTTTTGAATAATTTGTGATTCTTTTCTGAAAAACTCTGTTAATTTATCAAAGATACATTAAATGCCAAGCCAAGTTATCAAGAATACAGTTTATGCTACTAAAGTTAACAATGTGGTTTTCATTCTGTATAGAATATCAATATAGCATGATCTTCAGCATATCTAAACATTTCCATTCCTACTCCCTCCCATGGCTTCAAAATTTCTGAATTCTAATCAGAAGGGAAAAGGCAACTAAAGGCATTATACTTCAATGATCTTATGTCTTGTTACAATCTTCCAAAGGCAACAAATCTAGTCAAATCCAGTTTCTTTTTGTAGATGTCCATGAAGAGACTCTGCCATCTCTTTAGGCAAACTGGTTCCACTGCCAACCCGCTCTTATCGTCAAGTAGTTTCTTCTAATATTTTTTTTTCTTTTCATACTTTTTTTTGTTTTTTGTCTCTCTTTTCTCTCAGATCTCCAATCTATACTTTTCTTACTTTTCTATATCAACCAATTGTTCCCCCACTTTGATTGTTACTTGGAAACTTAATAAAAATCTTCATTATAAAAAAAGAAGTTCCTTCTAATATTCAATGGAAACCTACTCTTTCTGTAATTTCAACCTATTAGACCTGGTTCTAATTCTCTAGAGAAGCAAGGAACAAACATGTACCCTCTTCTCTGTGACAGCCCTTGAGGTTTTTAAGAGCATGGTCATGTCATCCATGCCTTCTTTTTGTCAGGCTGAGTAAGCCTAACTCCTTCAACCTTTCCTTATGTTTTGTTCTCCATACCTCTAATCGTCTTTGTTGACCTTTTCTGAATCTGTCCCAACTAGTTTATAGCCTTACTACAATGAGATGCTGAACATAGTATTCCAGATGTGGTCCGACCAGCATATAATATATTCAGATTATCTAATACTTCATCACAGCAGAACAAATTTCAATATACAGTAGAATCTTGCTTATCCAAGCTTTGCTCTTCCAACATCCTGTATTATCCATCGCAGTCTTCCCCCTGCCCGGATCCACAGCTGTTTCAATACACTGTGATGTTATGGTGCTAAATTCATAAATACAGTAATAATTCTGTTGATATGTCATAAAATATGATGTTTTGGTGCTTAATTTGTAAAATCATAAGGCAATTTGATATTTAATAGGCTTTTCCTTAATCGCTCCTTATTATCCAACATTTTTGCTTATCCAAGGTTCTGCCGGCCTGTTTATGTTGGATAAGCGAGACTCTAAAGTAACACATTCTCTGCATATTTTGCCAAGCTTGTTTGGTTTAAACTTTTGATACTGCAGCTCTCCACTCAACATGAACACATTTTGTTTTACTTCTTCAGGAAATCAGAGTCTAAAAAGTCGAAGAGATCTGAAGAATGTATTACAACTCAAAAGAAATCAGGCAGAAATCACCTTAAAATCAAGCGAACCCAGATGTCTCCTTCAAACTTGGATTGATTTAAGGCAGTGCTTCTCAACCTGTGGGTCCCCAGGTGTTTTGGCCTACAACTCCCAGAAATCCCAGCCAGTTTACCAGCTGTTAGGATTTCTGGGAATTGTAGACCAAAACATCTGGGGACCCACAGGTTGAGAACCGCTAGTTTAGGGCAATGTCCCTGAATAATTCTAGTGCTGCCACGGTGAATATACTTCATTCAGTTTTTTAATTAAAAGAACCCCCTTTTCTCCCCCACAAAGTTCATGACTCAGAAGTACACCAGCAAAACAACCTTTTATTACATTTGTTCAATTATCCAGACTATAATTGTAAGACTCAATATTTCAATCACCATAAAAATCAGTAGGAAAGTAATGTTTTGAAAATAAGTCAAATTCAACTTAGGAAACAAAAGGTTTTTTTCTCCCCTTTTATACTTGTAATTATACACAATTGGTTCCTCAAACAGAAATAAGAATTAAAATTCCCTTCAAATTCTCCCCATTGCACTTGTTACCACCAGAACTATATGGAGGACGTTACAACACAAAATTACAAGAGGATCAGAATTTACTCATACAAAAACGGACAAAGACTCTATGCCTATGTATGCCTTGCAAAACTGGGGCCACACTAGTACAGGTCCACTAGTACTACCTCTAGTCAGCTCACAAGACAGGTACACAATGGACCTGAAAATCTCTGACAACCTACTGCATCCATTTCTGGGGAGAGGCTTATTCTATGTACCAGCTCAGTTCAGCATTTGCCCTTTTATGGTGTCTGTTAATGTCTTGTTACAGCCACAGTATTCTTTGTTTAAAATCCGAATTTTAAACATCGCCAATTCAGTGACTATGCAGCAGTATATTATGCACAAATCAAGAGTAAGCTTCACATGACCTTCCTCATATTGATCATCATGGGACACAGTATCTTCATTTTATATGCTAAAAAACACCCTGCTTCATTTGCTGAGCATTTGCATGATTTTTTTGACCCGCTGAAAGCATCCATTGTTTCAAGAGAACATTAGTGTCATTGTAGAAAGAAGGCAAAGGCAGACTTATTTTGCCATTCAAGTATTGTTATGAAAGGGAGCCAAAGCCATTGTGCTTTAACCAGCAGCATTTTTGAGATCTTGTGGGGGGAGGAATAGCAAGAAGAGGGCTAGGATTGTAGCTTATACTTGCTTTAAAATTAAAAAAGCTTGTTTCAAAACAAATTTCCCCAAATTTCTATGGATTTAAGGCTGTTGTATAATTAACAAAGAGGAAATGGATCGCTGTTTTATGAATTATGAAATTAATTCCTATGACAATGGTAATTATAGAGATGTTTGTAACACGTCACCGTTTGTTTTGGGATCAAGTGACAGCATCCTTTGATGAGGGGCGCCCAGGAGATGTCTGTGGCAGCCACAACCTTCTGGGGACTGATTTGTGTCCACTGAAGTTGTCTCATTCTAACTCTATGAGTAACAAGACAGTTCTGGTGAATGACACTCTCTGTCTTGCAGAATTGGGGGGTGGAAGTGGTCCAGGAATCAAGGCAAGAGCATACAACAGCTCACTGGTAGAAGAATAAGGCAATGAACTTTGGTGGAGTAACGATTTTCTACCTGTTTCAGCCTGCACTTGCTCGACTTGGCTACTGACCAGTAAAGTTAAATGTTTTGACCTAAAGAAATGACCAGGAATCTAGATGAACCGAAGAGGTATTTGGTTATCAACAGGATGTGGTACAAAATGTCCAGGCTGTTTCAAGGTTCTGCCCCTTTGCCTTGAGGGAGAGGCAGCGAGATCCAAGACCTCCAAGGGCTGTTGCAATAGTATACTGTGCAAGTTACGCAGTTTGTTCTCATGCTTCAATCGCATCCCACCATTTATTTTACAGATATTGCCCTAACTGACGAATGACTCAGAAGGACGTGGATATTATTATTGACACTTCTCCAGGTAGTTCCAGCAGAAATTACGAACTGCTTTTTACAGTTTTTTATTCCAGGAAATGTGTTCATGGTGGCCCAAGCAGGAACGACTGCCCAGACTTGGGGCTACTAGATTCCCTTTGCACCTACCTAAGCCTCCCTGATCCTCCTCTTTTTGTTAAGATGACACAAACATTTATAATACACTTAAGTGGAGGTTCTCTTGTGGAAGGAGCATTGCTTGAAACACTATTTGTAAACACCTTCCTCAAAAGAGATCAGGTGGCACCTTTTCTCAACAGGATTCTCACACACGAGAGAACATTTAAAGTTTCAAAACTAGAGAGGGTTAAACTTGCAAAGTCCAGAAAAATAACCCTCTTCGCTCCTAGGTTCAAAGTTTTTTCTCCTCTACTTTATTCTCAGTGTGCTCATCTGCCAGTATCGTATGTCCATCACCATTTATTAAACACTTGTCTTTGTCTTGTTCGTACTTATGTTCTTGCTTTTGCCTTCTTACCTCTTTATATCGTAAGTTGATGTCACTAGAAATAAAACACAACAGAATTAATTTTATGGATATGTGATTATTAACAGTAGGAACACTCACTGTTCTTTCATTATTATTCTTTCAATGCCTTGGAATGAGGTTATTACGTATACCCCAGACTCCCAGACCAGTTGTAGTCAATCAGTAAGCAGGACAACCCTGCTACAATAGTCTTGAAAAACTTATTCACTTACTTTATTATTCCCAGCCCAACTGCTATTATATAACCCCTGCACTCCTTCAGAGAGGAGAAGCAACCATTTGTTTTATCAATTGTGACTACTACCTTTCTCTTTTGCTAACTTAAACCCCTATCACACTACACAGTTACAGTACTATTATTCCACTTTAACTGCCATGGCAACGTATGTTGATATTTGGGGTTTGTAGTTTGAGAAGGCCCAACAGCTCTCTTGCTGAGAATCTTAAATGCCTTTACCTAATCTACATAATGATGGCAATTAAAATACTACACTGTTATTGTGCTATACTTCCCATGGCAACACTGGGCTCATGTATAAGGAAGAATTATAGAATGACCATTCCAGTTTAACTGCCATGATTCTATTCTTTGAAAATTTGGGATTTGTAGTTTGGGGATTTACAATAATAATAATAACTTTATTTATACCCTGCCTCCATCTCCCCAAAGAGACTTGGGGCGGCTTACAGAGGGACATGTACAACAAATACAGGCTAAAATAAGCACAGAAAATTCAATCAATAACAAATAAATAAACATAATAATCAGACAACATCATAAAAATATATAAAACAATGTTATGGCTGGACAACAAAAAATGGGTTTGGGCTCGTGGTTCCTAAGTGCAATGATTCCTATGTAGAGCCAAGGGAAAAGTGTGACAATCGGAGGGTGGGCTAGGAGGCTAATGCCCTTAAACTATTAAAGTGTAAAAAGTGCTGGAAAGGAACCAAGCTAAGGGGCAGGAGCTTAGATAGGTTGGGAAAATCTATGGTGAGCTGCCTAATCAAAGGCACAATGGAACAACAGGTCTTCAATTCCTTGCGGAAAATAGACAGAGTGACGCCTGTTTGATCTCCCTTGGGAGAGAGTTCTAGAATCGAGGGGCCACCACAGAGAAGGCCCTTTCCTTCGTCTCCACCAGCCATGGTTCTGACAGCAGTTGGAATGAGAGAAGAGCCTCCCCGGTTGATCTTAGAGTACGTGCTGGCTCATAGAGGAAGATGCGATCCTGAAGATAGGCAGGCCCAGAACCGTTTAGGACTTTATAGGTGATAACCCGCACTTTGTATTGGGACTGGAAACTTATTGGTAGCCAGTGGAGGTTTGAATTTTCAGCCAGAGCGCTTGTCTGGGGCCTGACTAAACCACAAGTCCCAGGATTCCACATACTGTTTCCATGACAGTTAAAGGGGGATAACAGCACTACATGTAGTAGTGTGATAAAGCTCTTGCTCTCCACAAGTTAGACGTTTTAACTTTGGCAATGCAAAAAGATTAAAAAGTACTTGCATGCAGCGAACAGGAAGAAAAGACAGAATGGAAACAGATGGTTACAGTTGGCCCTCTGTATCTTCACATTCTGCATCCACAGATTCAACCTTCCATGCCTTGTATATTTTTTAAAATTCTAAAAAATGTACCTTGCTTTTGCCATTTTATATAAGGGATACCATTTTGCTACACCACCATATGTAACTGGACCAAAGCATTCATCGATTTTGATATTAATGGAGGGACTTGAAACCAGATCCTTAATGGATACCAAGGACTCACTGTATACACATTTATTTCTTGATTTGCTCAGATAAACATAGTGGGTCTGGCTTGAACCTCTTTTTCTGTTATTCAGCACTGAGCCAAGAGGCAAAAGCGCAGAATGCAAAGCAACAGCAAGCTTCCCTGCGTTGGAGTGGCAGACCAAATGCAGCAGAGTTAAATGCTGCTTCTCTTTCTGATCTACCCATCTTTCTTTCTCAGGAGGGCAATGACAGAGGAACTTAGAAAGGACCAGTACTGCCAATTGGAGCACATCCTTCAATATGGACTCTTGTAGCACTGAAGGGATTCTCTCTTGCTGGCTTTCCAACTTCAGCAAGGAGAATATGCTACTTGGCAAGGCATCTTCAGACAAAAGGACATTCATGATAGAGTAGAGGTATAGTTTGTCACTGTTTCTCACTGCTTTTTAGGAAGGAAGCGGACAAAAGCAACCCTGTGTGTTTCTTGCACACAGAAAACACTTCTTTCATTGTAGACTCTTAGACAACTGGTTGTTGTGAAGTCTTTACCAGAGGTCTGTGGTTGAAGATCTGACCAATAAATTAAATCCCTGTTTGAAAACCAGCCTCCTCTGCCATAATCTTCTATGTTCAAAAATTCTTTCCCTGAGTCAAAACCCTGAATGAAGTGCCCCAAGTGTTCATCTTTTGATAGCACATGGGTATAGCATATTTAAATGTGAACACTTTGTGAAAAGATAAGAACTTCACTTCCAGATTGAAGATTTAAATAACCCAGTTGGAAATTTAGGTACTGCTTACCGAATGAAGAAGCGCCACACTGTCCATGTAAGTACAAGAATGATTCCAAGGATCCAACACTGAGTAATGTAAAAAGGAAGTGACAATGTTAAAGTGTAGGGATCATATTTCACTACAATAAGGAACTCTGTAGCCGTGATAGCAGCCACCAGCCATGCCTGCTGACCCAGTTTCTTGTGGAACTTCCTGCAACAACAACAAAAAATAGTTTAGTATATGGATACACACATTTCTAAATTCCAAATCATATTTACAAGGCAGGTACAGTAAACACAATATTTCTGGAGTTTTGCAAACAAACTTAATTACATTGATATAGTTCAATATGCATAGCCAATGCCATCAACATGGTATTTTTTTGTCTTTACACTACACCCTGGTGATGATAATAAAAGATATTGTACTGCTCTTGCCCCATCAGACACTATGATCATGGTGCCCAAGATTCAACTTAGTATATAAAACAATATTGTGTGATTATCTTGCTGAAGTGAATAGTACACACATGAATCATATTTATAAACAATTTCCCTTTTTGAACAACATGAAAACATATTTTCCCATAGAATGACTATGTTTATAATAGAGACTGTGACAAGATTAATCAAGAGTAACATCTCTGCGCATCTGCTTCTTCAATGGAAAATAAAGACTTATATTCAGTATCTATTGCTTTAGACATACATACTTCCCACGAAAATCTACAAAACTAATAGTGGAAACAATATCTGGTATCCAGTAGGTGAGTTACAATGATGTATGAGGCTGAAGAGGTTGCCATTCTATTCCAACTATGCAACCCCACAAATCCCTTTGCAAACTCAGCTTGCAAGAGTTGACATCTATGGAGCCCTGTCAAGGACCTGATGATCCTCAGGCCTATTTTAAGAAACTGGGCCCTTTTTGAAATCTCCACTGTATTGTAATATCCAACTGTATTTCAGACTATCAAACATTAATTTTGTAGCACAGGACTTAGTGAAAGCTGAATGAGAACTAGCCAACCAATATTTTACATTAGGTTTTCTTTCCTAGCACCCTTTTATACTATACCATTGTAGCACTATGATTCCACTTCAACATGGGATTATAGTTTGGTGCTCTCTGATTGGAAATCCTAAATGGACCTAGCTAATCTAAAAGTATTTTGGATTAGGGATGTTCAACTTGCACACAATAAACTCTATTTACATGTATGGGAAGAGAAATATGCCATAGCTTACATGAAGCATGAGTGGAAGCAGGTCTATTGAGCAATTACTAACCAGCTTTGACAACACTAGTTTATCTCAGTGAAAAGTTCATTCGTATACAACTGCAGAAATGTATAAAAACTAAATCACTGAATGGGTCAGCACTAAAAACATTTTTTAAAACAAGCTCAATGCAAAATCCATTCCACAGAATCTAGAAAACAATGTGTCACAAGCAGGTCAAGAGGGAATAATTGTACCTATCTAAAGTTGTCTATGAAGTAAACAACTCCAAATAGCTCGCAACAAGTAAGTTACACAGTGGTGAAGAAGGAAAGATTCAAGATAATTTCTGAGGTCAGATATGAGTAGAAAATCCTTTGTTTAGATTAGAAAGCAATTAGGAAAACCATACCCATGCATTCTTCTAAAATAAAATATTACACAGCACAACACTAACTCTATACCCCAAATGAAGGAAGAAGCTCTAAAGATCCCAGAAAGTATCCTTATCCTCTTTTACTGGCTTCAACTTGGCAACCTTCCTTGCAAAACAGCAATCTGACTATTATTCAAAACCTGAACAAAACATTCTCTTCTCCTCCTCCAAAATTGAGATAATGTACTATGTTAAGCATCTGAATGATCATGATGTATTCTTTAGAGTCCCACTACTTTTGGATCATATCCTATTATCCTGATTTACCCTCATTTTCATCTCATGCTTTAGAGGAAGCTGAAACAAACAGACCATGTATAAATAATCCTTTTAGGCCTTGCATCACGGAGGAGGGCTTCTATGGGTCCCAGTTTTCCCCCAAAAACCTTGTCAGGGCCCCAAAAATGTTTCTATGAGATAATCAGACCAAATAGTTTCAGTGCCCTCTCCCAGCTGGCAAACCTACTTCTAGAAGTAATTGGATAGGCGGAACAATCTCAAAACACAATCCGATTGCTTTGGATTCTACCTCCTCCCGTCCTTTTGCTTAAAATGGATTTTCTTCTTAAGAGTACATTATTGATATAAATGGGAGGAAATGACATCAATATTTCCCCTATCTTCTCAATTCAATACTAATCCTTCCCAAGCTCCATCTGTTAGAATATCACAAATGGCAAAGTGAAACTTTATCATGATAGCTGTAGATAAGAGCATGAGAGAACTATTAGAGGCAGGGATGAACAGCAGTATGGCGGCAAAGAGGACTTAAAATCTATTTCAGACTGAAAAAGTGGAAATGACTATGTCAGTGTGCCTGCCTATGAGAGGAAAAACCAAAATAAATAAATAAATAAATAAATAAAATAAATGAACAGGCATAAAGTGGGTGCCAGAACCTACAATTTTGCTCTATTTATGGAAACTGTCAGAAATTTACAGCAAACCATGAAAATGGAAGGAAAGACCTTATAAAAGCTCCTTTTAGTACTCAGGCATGTAAGAAATCTGTCCAGAGAATACTTTGTGTCTGATTTCTGTTTTAGAAATGGCAGGATTCTCTCATCTAAACTAGAAATATAATGTGATGCTTGCCAATGTTTTTGTTCACCTTCTAGACTTTTCTGAGTTTGAGATTAATATCCCTGGAATACGGTAATTATGATATTGCTTACTATATTAAGGAAGGTAATATTTAACATATTTCAACATATTTCCACTATCATTTCCCCAAAAGTCGACAAGTTGGTTGTGGAACTGTATTGCTAACGCTACTCATTTCCTTTCGTTTCCAACATATGCATTTAGAGAGAAAAACATCAATTTGAGAAAAAAGCAGAAAAGCATAGAATTTGATGGCACAGTTATTTTATGTGTTAGTGAAGCATGTTGTATTAATGCTACTACTTATAGTCCACCAACTGTCCTATAGTCAACATAAATAAAACTGCTGTACTGATCAATCTGTTCATATAATGATTGTAAGATTGAATGCTTGGAGATTTCCCATGCATGACAACTCAGTAGTAATCTGTAAGCAGAAATGATGTTAGAAGCATTTTAAAAAAATCTTGATTGCAACCAAGATTGGTCATCTGAAGCAACTTCATAACAGTCCCAAGAGAACTTTTGAAATATTCAGAAATGATGGAAGAGCACAGATTGGATTAGTTTCAGAGTAGCTTTCTTCTGAAAAGCAGCAAGGGTGAAAAACAAAGCTAACCATTTCAGCAACCTTAAATGATAATGATCTTCAAGGAGATCCTCAAGTTCACAGTCATATCACATTTGCCAAATGGCACCATCAACTTACTTCTTTGAGTATGGTCATCTTAGCAGACAACACAATGTTTGACATAACTTGCTCAGTTTCATGGGCTTACAATAAGGATGAATATAGAGTCTCCTTGCAAATGAAAACACAGGAAACTATTCTAATCTGACATGGATATTCTGTCATTGCTCAGGATTTCCAATATTTTGCCTAGGAAGAGAAGCTAAATTGTTACTAGAGGAAATAAGAGCTTTTTTCAATATCAAGAGCAATTTTAAGGCACACTTCCCATGCTATAAGCTAGATGTTCCTTAATGATGTGACAAACTCTGGCAAAGCCTTGTCCAGCTGAATAGGAGAGTCATACTACACAACATTGCCGCAATAACTGAAGTCTCATCCTCTTTGCCAAGCAAACCACAAAATAAACTCTAGGGCAAGGTGAAATATATCGTTTTCAAGTATACCTGAAGTGAAGCAATCTGAGGAAGAAGATGACTTGAATCAGTAAAAGAAAAAACCAGTACCCAGCGGATCTCTGTGGCCTAACATGCCAATTTGGAAGGCAGGGAACAAGTACCTCCACTTCTTTCTAAGTGAGGCACATTTCTACATTCTAACCTGCACACTCCCAAACCTGAGACTGCAGATGAAACATGAGTGAGGATCAGTGTTAAAAAACTACCCCAAAGGCAAAGTCCCAAATCAGCTTACAGAATCCCTTAAATAAAAAAAATGTACCAAAGTCAGTTTTAGTGTTGTGTTTTATCAACACAAATGTGTGTTGCAATTTTTAATTTTTTTTGCAGAAAATTCAATAAGCATCTTTGGTCAGGCATAATACCTTTCTTGTCTAATTGCCAAATTTGCTTTGCTCTTATTTTAAGAGGCACCAACCCACTTTCTGGCTGTCTAACAAGAGGAGAGGAAATAGTTACACAACTCTGTTGCAATACTATGGGCGGCTTAAAGACTAACAAATTATATTTGGTATAAGCTTCTGTGAACTCCAGCCCACTTCAATCCACAGAATGTTGCCTCAGTAGGATGACGACTGCATATGATTGGCAGAGAATCAGAAAAAAAACTGCATGGGATCATAAAACAGAGACTCTTCAGATTGAAGAGTAAGTATGCCTTCGTATAAGTTATAAAAAGAAAGTCTTGTGCAGACATCTTGTTCTTTGCTTGCAAAATTCTCATCAATGACAAACATCAGAGAGAGCTGGTTCTTCTTAAATTTATACAGAATCTGGAACTTTGATTTTAAGAGCTGAGATCGGTCACCTTACCCAAGTAAGAGAGTGTCCCTCTACAACTTCGAAGTGATGACTGTGTTTGTTGATAAAAGTCCTTGATTTCTACATTTTGCATTAGCAAAGAATAGCAACACAGAGAATCAGTAATGAGGCGCTAGTGACTGGTGAAGTTCCCTTGTTCCAATGTTATGCCATGAGGTTGAACAGAAGGCAGGAGAATAAAGAACAGGTGGGGTTTTTTTTTTCAACTCAAACAGAAAGTCCAAAAGATGAGCCAATTTGCTGAGGAGAGGAGCTCGCTTACAGAAATGGAGACCCCTTCTTACCTTGAAGCAGGAAGAACATCCCAAACCAGCAGATCCGACTCGAGGGGCAGGGAATGGCCTGTCACTCCTGAAATCCGACTAAGTAATCAAGACTGGCCCTTCTTTCCCGCTCTAGGAGCCAAAGACTTGCAAGTAAAACTGATCTTCATAAAATATTGGAACGCTAGGTACTGAGCACAGACACTTTTTGTATTGCCCAGCGAAGAGACAATAAGCCAGTCTGTCAGCCGGTTTGATTCATTATCACTAAATAACTGCTAAAAACACAAAAAGAAAAAGAAAAAGAAAGACTCTGGGGATCTGAGTCCTACTGACTGCTAAACAATGATGTCGAACGAATAAACTGTAATCAGGCAGCTGTTTTGTGCATGCACTGCTGAGAGATGGCAGACATGCAACATATTCACAATATACAGAAGGGCAGTGATACAAAAATTCAAAGAATCTGCTGGAGAAATCTAAAGGAACAAGAACGTTGAAGCATCTCTATAACTAGATCCTTCCAATTTGACCATTTCCTCAAGGCTACATTAGTGACAGTCCCAAATGTAAAGACAAACCAAAGCTGTTCTGTGCAAAAGTGAGTGGCATTCAAGCTAATCTGAATCATGAGCAGCTTGGTGTGCAACCCTGCATATTTGAGGATACCATGGTGCACACTGACATTGCCATTCAATGCTTATACATTTTGCCAATAACTGCCTAATGCGTGTCCAATTTATTTCTTAAAAAATGAGATTACTCTAGGCAGTACCAGACTGCTGATCCACTGCCTTGGTATTTTGCCAGCATGTTATCAACTAAGCTTGAATAAGAGGAATAACTTACGGATCATCCATGAAGTCATAGATTTCTCTCATGGCTACACCACCCACATTCACATAAAAGACAAGTCGCAGCAAAACCAAGTAGTGTTCTGGAGGCATCCACAGGACAAACTTCAAGTAAAAAGTGTTCAACTCTGCCAATAAAAACTGAAACACATACACCATTCAATCACTTGATTTTCAGAGAGCCCAAGTTATTCAAATCCAACATGTGCCATAATTCCCTAAACTTTAAGACTCAGTATATTTGCAATACTTGGCAATAATGATATCCTCAGCCCAAGTGAAGTGTTTCCATATAGTGTAGTTATTTTTTTTTCTTACAAAATTAAATGTTCCCAAGTTCTTAAAAAGGCACCCCTTCTTCCCACTCCTATGATAATGTACCAGAAATCTGAAATTCAGTACAATGGAGACGTTCAAAATCCACAATTAATCCCTACAAAATTATGAAGTAAGAAAATCCATACAGGGAACATGGGGTCTTTCCAGACACAGTGAACTGGGGCAGTAAACACTGCATTATAAAGATGGCTAAATCTGTTTTGGAATATATATGACAACTGGTTGCATCCATAAGAAAAAAGACGTCCTTACTATAAAAATAATACCACACACTGCTAGCCATCTGCGAAGGCTGGATGCTGGCTTCCATTCAAACTTAACCCAGCTGTAAGGTGTGAACTGGAAAGCAATTCTCTTCATTTTGCCTCTGGAGGGAAAAGCCACAAGAAATTACTTATTGCAAATGATATTAGCATATGGTGAATTACCGTTTCTTCTTCAACACCTACACAGAGGCATGCTGCGATACTGTAAGTGATATATATTCATCTTGATTAGTAGCTACTGATATCCATATCCGTCATTAATCTGTCCAATTAATTTTTAAAGAAATCCAAACTGACAGCCGTAACTACACTCTGTGGCAGTGAATTTCAAAAATAAATTATATGTTGTATTAAGACATAACTTCTTTTTCTGAAGTTCCAACCATTCGGCTTCAGTGGATGACCTGCTTCTCATGTTCTGACATCATGTACAATCTTATATACCATATATACTTGAGCATAAGCTGACCTGAATATAAGCCGAGGAACCTAATTTTATCACAAAAAACTAGGAAAATTGATTGACTTGAGTATAAGCCAAGGGTGGGAAAAGCAGCAGGTACTGGTAAATTTCAAAATAAAGAATAGTTACTAATAAAATTACATTAATTGAGGCATCAGTAGGTTAAATGTTTTTGAATATTTAAATAAAACTAATTTAAGATAATTGTCCAACTCTGATTACCTATGTACTCATGTATAAGGTGACTTAAAAATAAGCCAACCAGGACCCTCACTCGAGTACAAGCCGCGACGGGCTTTTTCAGCCCTAAAAAAGGGCTGAAAAACTCGGCTTTTACTTGAGTATATACAGTACCATAACTCAACCTCATGTATAAGTCAAGCACAGTTTTGGGGGCCAAAATTATGGGTTTTAATGTAACCTATGAATAACAGAAAAAAACAACAAGAAACAAAACAAAACAGAAAACACTGCTCTTGTCTCTAGAAACCAGCTGGCCTGAATTTTAAGCTGCCATAAAGAACCCAGTATTTGCTATTTCCTATTTTCTCACAGTACTTTTCAGTCTTGTGTTTAAGAATGCTGCCATTGCTATTAAATGACCTTCAGCTAGTGCTGGTACATATCAGAATGCCATGATGTTATTTTCTCCAAATCAAAAGATATTAACACACATGAAACCAAGCTCTAAGATATATATCTTGCCAGTTTAAGTATGAACTTTCATAATTTAACATACTTGTATGTGGGAATGTTCCAAAGTCCTTGCCATTTATATGTTTTTAAGGAAAGCCACCCCAACGTCTTCATTCCACAGTAAATGCCAAGCCCATTGCATAAGATTACATCCATAATCCACTGTGGGGGGAAAGGAAGGGGGCAACAGTCTCTATAATATATGTTGTCACAACAGATTATATGTGTTCATAATTAATTACATTTTAACCATATAATTTTGAAACATATTACATAAATTACTTCAAGATCAGTTATATTAATATTTGATACACAACAAGATTAGTACACAACAGACAAGATCACTATGCTGGCTGTTGTATTGGATCACACGTCGGACACTTCTCAAGTGTCTAGGACTATGTGATGTATCGGCGAATAATGCGTGCAGATCCGAGTTGGGGGGAGGGGGGCTTTTGCAGCTGACAGATGGCATTTTTGTCAGTGCCAATTGTTTTTAAGTGTTGGCCAAGGTCTTTAGGTACTGCACCCAGTGTACCAAACATCACTGGGACCACTTTTACTAGCTTGTGCCAGAGTCTTTGCAGCTCGATCTTTAAATCCTCGTATCATGTCAGCTTTTCCAGTTGCTTTTTATCAATTCTGCTTAATTGTTGTTGTTATTATTATTTACTTTATTTATACCCTGCCTTCTTCCCTGAGGGGACTCAAGGCAGCAAACAGTCACATGTAAACAATTCATAAACCATAAGAAATGATTAAATCTTAAGATTTTGTATGTCATTTTTTCACCATCAAATATGAACAATGCATCACTCCATCCATTTCCCTCTAATAGTTGTTATTACAGCTTACATTACAGTGCATTTTCTGAGTTGGTTCAGAGTTCCTGTGATTATTCCTATATTAACTAGCTAGGATATTTGTTTCTGAACTTTTATGACAATCTGCCATTTCCTTCTGAATATTTTCCTTCTTCTGTCAAGAATTATTCTCTTGACAGATGGCACATTTCACTTCATCTTTACTTCTGTCTTGCTGGTCTTCTCCCTTGCCATGTTTCCACTGTACACTATAGGAACCGAGTATTTAAAAAAATAAAGATTTTTTAAAGATTTTTTTTATTTTAAATATTTTGTTACACTAGTACTACCTTATTGGTTCTCCACTCCTTCCTCCCTTCCCTTCCTCTTGTATAGTTAGATCAATCTCATTTTGCTAAACAAATATGGCAACTATGATTAGCTGTAAAATGATTCAAGGAACAAAACCAACCTCAAATCTAGATTTAATCTTCTTTATAGGACAATACTCACATGGTCCCACCAACATTCGCTGAAGTTTGGAAGCTGATGCTCTAAACTGTACTCCAGACATTCAAACATTACACTGATAATCATGCACATCCACCAATCACGGATCATTAGTGTCTAAAAATAAAGGGAAAAATGTGAGCATTATCAAAAACTTTGGTAACTCATTTTTGAAAAATGTTGAAGATATGAGCATTATGCAATGTACACTTGAAAGGGCACTATAGGCTATACTATAGATGTTATTTTCCACACACACACACACACTATACTATAGTTACTTTGGGAAAAGAAATAATTTTAGACCTGTGGAACACAGGACATTATAACTATTTAACTATTATTTATTTATTTACAGTATTTATATTCTGCCCTTCTCATCCTGAAGGGGGTTGAGGGTGGATCACAGAACATACATATGTGGCAAACATTCAATGCCATTTTATACACAACTAGACAGACAATAACACACAGATAAGAGGTATTTATATTGGCTTTCCCCATCTTTTGGCATCGTGGAAGGCGTTGTGTTTGTTTCCAGCCACGGGGGTGCAGTCGGCCCATCTCCCCAACAAAGAGCTAGTTCGTAACTTCCTCCTTTTGGATTGAATCACCGGCATTCCTTCTGGGTGACTCAGAATATCTCCCCCAATTTTTAATGAGTGGTACCTATTTATCTAATCACATTTTTGTTTTCGAACAGCTAGGTAGGTGGAAACTGGGCTAAAGGCCAGGAGCTCACCCTGAAACGACTTCGAACTGGCAGCCTTTTGACTGACAAGATTGACTACAGCTGGTGTTTAACGTGCTGTGCTAAAGCCAGCCCAACTGTGTCAGCAACAGAAGGTGCTAACCCTGTAATCCAAGAAGCAACGCATAATTTAGATTCTTGATCCCCCTTTTAAACACTTGGACTACATCGTATGGTTGTTTGTACTTCCAACTAAAAAAAAAATCATTGGACTATTTGTTTAAAGAGTGCTCAGCAGATATGACTTTGAACTGAGAAAAGGAGATTGCATATCACAGATCATTTTGAGGAATAGATGTCACAAACTAATATCAGTGCTAACTGCAGAGCAATGCAGAAGTTTTTGCATTGTCATAATGTTGTAAGACCAACAGCAAAATAATCAGAGGAATCATCAACAACAGAATTCTACTTGACTAAACCATGGGAAACACATTTCCTAAGGCAGTGCTAGTCAAAGTGGTAGACCATATATGAATGAATGCCAGCTGCAAGCCATTATCTGGTGTTCTGTGGCAAGTTTCTAGGAAAGAAAGAGAGCTTAAGAAGTCCTGTCCTAAACAAAGTTTATGAAACAAAACTGTTCTGCCTGTGTTACAATATAAGAATATTAGGTTGAGTCTTATTTATGCATTGTTAAAGTTAACATATAAGTATTTATGGAAGAGAAAATGTAGGAAAGATGCAATTTTGTGATAATCATTTTACAGACCAGAGGCAGACTGTTTTTTCAAAAGTTTCATATTAAAAATTTTTTTTTTACAAAAATTTTTGAAAAGAGTATTTAAGAAGAAACCTGAATATTATTTACTGGGCTTTACAGACTCGGAATTACAACTACAGGAAAATGAGGACAAACTTTTTACTTATATGACGAYGGCAGCGAGAATTGTTTTAGCAAAGGTTTGGAAACAGGATAGTATCCCTACTAAGGAGGAATGGTTAAGGAAAATTAGAGAAATAAGGGAGATGGACGAATTGACTTTTTTTTGAAAAAAAATACCGGAAACCCGATAAAAAAGACAGACTGGACACTTTATGATAAGTACGAGAAAGAAGAAAAAAAGTAAATAAGAGACAATTTAAGGGAAAGTAACAGTAACGTTTTTGGAGACACAACACCTGATGAGGAGATGGAAGTCAAACCTTTTTTATGTTTTTATATGGATTTTTATATATATTTTTGGCTTTCTTCCTTTTTTTTTCTTTCTCTTTTTCTTCTTTTTTTCTCTTTTTCTATATTTTTCCTACTGTTCTATCTTCTTTAAATGTTCACCCTCTTTCGTTGTATTTGATAAATATCCTAATAAAAAACTATTCAAAAAAAAGTTTCATATTAAAATAATTTAGTTATGTAGGGTTAAAGGAGCCCGCAGTGAGTTAAACCACTAAGCTGCTGAGCTTTTTGACCAAAGGTCACAGGTTTGAATCTGGAGAGCAGAGTGAGCTTCCACTGTCAGCCCCAGCTTCTGCCAACCTAGTAGTTCAAAAACATGAAAATGTGAGTAGATTAATAGGTACCACTACGGCGGGAAGGTAATGGCGCTCCATGCCAGCCACGTGACCTTGGAGGTGTCTATGGACAACACTGGCTCTTCAGCTTAGAAATGGAGATGAGCACCAATTCCCAGAGTCGGACATGACTGGACTTAATGTCAGATGAAAAACTTTACCTTTACCTTAGGATTAAAGGTATTAAAAAGGAGTCTGGAAACCGCTTTGGTTTTATATAGTGTATATCAAAAGCCTGACATACAAAATGTATAAAATTTGTTATTGCGCAGAATGCAAGAAATAATTTAAGTTTCAATACTTTCATACACTACCTTAATTAATTTTGCATATTGGTAACATTTAAATAGGGCCATTGAAGCTTTAAAAGCTATCAACAACTGAATATTAAAAACACCCATTTTTACCTTCAAATACCAACCAAGGAAATGAGCAGGAACAAATCCATCCAGTTTGTCCTGTAATTCAAGCAGAGCAATTACGCTACACAGATTAGACCCATTTTTCTTCAGAAAAATAAATCAGGGTAAAATTTCTGAAATGTATATCAGAGAATGTAATTGCAACATACAATGCTGTCTTTAAAATGTATAAACATGTTTTCTATCTTTTGAGTAACACTGTAAAAAAACCCCAAACCCAAACAGTATGACCTCAGGGGGAGCATCTAATACAAAAAGAAAATCACAATTATAGAAACAAAAATGAAGAGAAGTGTTCATGTAATGTATTCATACTAATTTTAATAACAGCTGGGAGTTCTATGTTTTATGAAATGTAATAGATTTTTAATTATTTTATTGGTGTTAATTTATGTGGTGCTGGAGGAAAATTCTGACAGTGTCTTGGACCGCGAGAAGATCAAACCAGTCCATGCTCCAGGAAATAATGCCCGGCTGCTCAGTGGAGGGAAGGATATTAGAGGCAAAGATGACGTACTTTGGCCACATAATGAGAAGACAGGAAACCTTGGAGAAGATAGTGATACTGGGAAAAATGGAAGGAAAAAGGAAGAGGGCAAAATGGTTGGATAATATCCTTAAAGTGACTGGCTTGACCTTGAAGGAGCTGGGGGTGGCCACGACCGACAGGGATTTCTGGTGTGGGCTGGCCCATGAGGTCATGTAGAGTCGGAAACGTTTGAACGAATAAACAACAAACAAAACTATGTGTTTTTAATATTCCTATATTTCATTCTATTTTAGTATTTATATGCTTTATGTTTTAATTCACACATTGTTAGATTGTTAGTGTTAGCTATTTGAGTTTTCTTTGGGAGAAAAAAAGTGGAATATAAATAGTACTACTACTACTAGATACTAATAGATCTAAGTGAGGAATGGGCAACATTTTAATTAGACGACATCTTCCACTGATGTGTATGTGTCCCTTTGCTGCACTCAAAACACAAGGTATAACCATAAAAATTGCTGTTTTTGCTTTTGTGTGGGTGTCTTACTTTTCAAAAGACAAAGTAAAAAGTCTTGATCACTGAGCCATGAAGTCTATGATATACATAACTAATGTCAACCTAGATTTTAAAATCTTCCTAGATTTTATATCACCATAGATTCAGAAATATCACAAAACCTGCATTTCAGTCACCTTAGTTTCACCAGGCAAAAGATTCTATCTTAAAGTTGCCATAGCAAACCTAAACAGTAACAGAGAACAGGTGTAGATTTTCTTTGCTAGACTGTAAAGGGTGCAGAGCAGTTAAATAATTTAACCCCACATCTAAAGTATCTAGTTAGGTTGAAGCAGAATGGATAGCATGCTCTAATCAACACAGGGGTTGGTTGGCAGGCTACAAGTAGTATGCATATATTCTCTATTACCAAAAAGAAAGAAAGAAAGAAAGAAAGAAAGAAAGAAAGAAAGAAAGAAAGAAAGAAAGAAAGAGAAAGGGAGGGAGGGAGGGAGAGGAGTGGGGGGTGAGTCACTAAGAACAGTGGAATCAGACAAGCTGAATAACACTGCCCAACAAACATTTTGGTGCCTCAAATATTAGCCCTAGTCTTGGTATATTTGACCTACTGATTCCAAAAATGGCACCAGTTTTTCCCCATCAGATCTAGTTTTTGAGATACAGAACAAATACCACATTCCAGTCTTCATCTGTCCTCCCACAGAAAATCATGATAAACATATCTAAGAAACTACATCTAATGCAGTTTATCTAATATAATTTTCTGAAACACATTCCGAATAATTCCAGAAACAGGCCTAACAACCAAGACACCAAGATTTTTTTGTTGGACTGTGTAATTGATGAAATTAACAGAAGGTCCATAATTGCATAAACTTTATATAATTTATGCTACTGCTTTCTAGCCATGTGAAAAAAGCAACATTTTATGCCAGACACTGATGTCACAACCCATGTCCACTGAAACCTTACTTTGCAACCCTTTTGCAACCCAACATTTCATTTTCAGTCCTTTTTTCCAGGTGAAAAGGATGAACACTTCCTTTAAAAATATGAAACCTGAGATTATAGAAAGCTGAATTCTGCATTGACACAGATTTCATGGTACATATTTCACAGCATTACATAATATATGTTAATTGATGCTGGATTCAGCACCAATGATTACACATGTAAAAAAAATAGGGAACAAATTGCCAGAACATAAACCTATCACTTAAGTAATTTTTTTCAAATTTAGTATCTCACCCAAATATTGTGAAAGGGATCTGTCCTATTGTCTGGATCATATATAAGGCAATTTCCACCATAGTCTCTTTCTGGCAAAGGAACTCCTAAATTAGGATCAATGAACTTCATAAACTGTCTTCCATCATGTACATTCTGCAGAATGAAATAAATCTATTAGAAATAATCCATCTTGACAATGGGACACAACAGAATGTAGAATACTTTTTCGCCAGTTGCTGAAAATAAGACAGGAAAATCCATTGTCTTTCAACAGAAACAGAAAAGTAATATAATTGACTAGTTGCCCTGACACGACAAATAAAATAAACAGAAACAGAAGAATGTTCACGGATAGCTTAAAGAATAGAAGTTATAGCCTGCATAGTAATAATTCTGAAACAAGTTACTTTATTTCCTACATCTGATTGCACTCTGACCCTAAGGAAACTTGACACACAGCCCCAGAGATGTATTTTAGATCTCCATTGGTTCCCACTAGATAGATTGCATCAGCTTGAAAAACAGAAGCAAGAGAGCTACGCTTGGCTCTCTAACATTTGAAAAGAAGGTGGAATCCCTCAGTAAAAACCCCTGGTAAAATACTTGGCTATATAGGACTAGCAAGTTTCAGTTTAACAGCAGCACTGCAGAAAATATGCTTACCCCCTTTGCAGCAGTCCCTGCAAAGGATTACAATGAGGGAAATAGTGCTTCTGATTCAACCCCTTCTGTTATTAAACCTGGCTGTTAGGAATTGTGGGAGTTGAAGTTCAAAACACCTGGAGGGCTGAAGTTTGCCCATGCCTGGTATACACCAATGGGAGAAAGGGTGTTTCCTGCCCTCTTCATAACATAACTCACAACCTCCTTTATGACATGAGACTGTTTGATTTGTTATGGATAGTCAGGCACTAATGCAAAGTTGCTGATAAATAAACTTCTGTTCTGTCCAAAGCCTGTGGCTTAAATCTGTAAGGAGAGTAGGATCTGAGCCTTTTCATGGGAGGCGCTCTCAAAAGGCATTTTAGTAGGAGATACATCCCACTGAACATCCTGCACACAACATTAACACTGCAATCAAGGGTACTGTTTCTATAGCTCATTAAATCGGGAAGTGCATCTTCTATGGCTTAGATGCCAGAAAAGTGATAATTAAAACCCTCTCCAAAACCCTCTCCTTTTACCAGTGGAGAAAAAAAACCTCAGTGGTTATGTGATCTGACTTGGTAAGGCAATATCATCTGTTCGGACTGGTCTATCCATCTAAATTCAAGGTGATCACAGAACTAACTAGTATGGGATGGTAATAGTAAACATGGTCTTTGATTTTACCTTTTTAAATGTATTTGAACATGTAGTGTAAAAGTTCCTTACCTGAAAGAGAATGAAGATGAGGAAAAGCTCATACACCACACTGACACACAACCAAAATCTCCAGTAGGCTAGAGGAAAAAAGAGGAAAAATACACTGAACACACAAAACAGTTTTGATGGCTGTATTTATTTCAAAATGTATTTAAGGCAAATTATGGAATATTGCCAAACACCAACTGTGTACATCTAGGAAAGCACATTTTTTCAACAAAGTCATAATATTTTGCACTGCTATGACACATTTAGTGTTGGTTATCTAAGCCTGTTTTTGCCATAAATTTATTCTGTATTACAGTGAGTCCTTGGTATCCAAACGTATTTGGTTCCAGGACTCCGTGGATAACAAAACCAGTAGATCCAATGGCATAATTATATATAATGGCAAACAACAAGGTTTCTGGGAGCTGGGAGCCCAAAACACCTGGAGGGCCAATGTTTGCCCATGTTTGTGTTATAACACAGCCATAAAGTCCAGAAACCACACAACACTCCATTTTTTGCCTTCTTCCCCAGAAAGACATTAGTGACAGACAGTCCTATGAGAGAATCAGAGGAGGGATTTTGACTGAAATGGGAGCGGGAATCTAATGTTATTTCCCCTTTCTCCCTCAGTATAGCTAAAACTCCTTTTCAGATAACACTCCGGATTGGTGCAAGTCACTAAAAGTGTGTGTCCTTTTCTGGCGATAGTCAGCAGAAACTGCAGTGCTCCAGGGATATTACTGAAATTACCAGATGCTGCAATCCAGTCCTGCACATTTATACTCAAAATTAAGCCCTACTACATTCAGCGAGGCTTAATCTCAAGTTAATGTTCACAGGACTGTAAACGAGGGCAGCATTGTTTTGACAAGCGCATGAGTAGAAGGCCAATGTTTTTCATTCATTTTGGAGTTTGCTTACAACCACAACTCAAACTAGTGTGGAGAAAGTTCCTGAAGATTGCAGAACCAGTTCACGCGGCCCCATTTATTGTTGTCAGGAGGCTAAAGGGCAAGTAAAAGATTTTCTATGTAAGGTCACTGACCAACATGAATTTCTTCTCAGTCAGCATATAATGTTACACAAGTGGAAGTGCTCTTGTGAAACAAGACCTTTTCTTTCCATCCACACCACAATTCTGCCTCAACAGGGGATTTTGTGTTATGCTTTCTGTTGTGCTAAACTGTCACCAAAGGTGGATTGATCTTTTCACACAGATGTGTTAGGCAGATTTTATTAAGAATATGTAAAACCATGGCTACTTTGGATTACCTGGATGAGGTCTTGAAAATGGCCCATCTTTAGCTTGAGTGACTCCAAAACACAAGAAAACTAAAATGCTAGCAACAATTCCTCTGGAAAAAAAAATCCAAGAATAAGATTTTCATTACCATATATCTTTTTATAAAATAAGTGAACATCTACAATCAAAGTAAAATGTTAGTAATTATTTATTTTAGGAGACAGTATACTTGAAAAGGCTAAAGTATCTTGAAATCCAGTTCATATTACAGCAATAATCAAACTATTTTAAATGTTTCATTGGTCAGAAAGAAGAACATTCATTTTGTCCCAACTCAATACAGCATTCAGCCCTTGCTGAAAGCTGCACTCAGTGAATTTCTATGTGAAAATCAAAGCCCCTCTTTTGATGAGGAAAAGGAAGAAATTGTCAGGAGCATTTATAAGTTCTTGCTGGGAGGAAATTTCAACAATGGAGAATGCTTTGGCAGCAAGTACAGTCCTTGCTGAACACCCTGTTTGGGTAGTTTTGAGATAGAAGCAGCAAATGGAGAGTTCACTAGATCCCAAGGCAACATATTCCACTGAGAAACAGTTTTTACCTTCAGGAAGTTCTTCCTAATATTTAGGTGGAAACACGTTTCCTGATGTTTGAATCCATTGCTCCATGTCCTCATTTCTGGAGCAGCAAAAAACATGCTGTTCCAGTCTTCAATATGACATCCTTACAGATATTAAATATGGCTACCATGTCCCCTCTCAATCTCCCCTTATTTCAGCAAAACATGTTCAGTTCCCCAAGTCACTCCTCATAAGGCAAGGCTTCCAGATCTTTTAACCTTTTGATAGCCTTCCTCTGGATACATTCTAGCTTGACAATATCGTTCTTGAATTGTGGTGCCCAGAACTGGACACAGAATAGAATGGGACTATGCTCGGTTTGGATGTACGTTATTAAGCAGGCTTTAGGTGAATACAAAGTGAATACAAAGATCAATAAATCTTTAGAGAAAAGCTTTGCGGGAAAATGCTGAATGAGGACAAGCGAGCTGGAACTGGAATCGTGACAGGTTGTTAAGCAGTGTGGCCGGAGGGAGAATGAAAGGCATGACTGCCTGAGATGCAAACATTGTAGGGCAATGGTTCCCAACTTTCTTTATCTGTATGAATGTTTGTATCTCTTGGAAGAGATTGGTTTAATCTCTGGTTTGCTAGTAAAACAGAATTATTGTGCCGAGAAAAGATGCATGTCTAAAAAGTGTGTCACCAACATAAAATGTTTGGAAAGCTCTGCCTTACCTAACAACCTGAGTACCAACATGAAGAAATTTTAAACATCCACTTTTCTTGAGAGGACATTTATATGTTTGCAGTCATTTGTTTATTATGTTTGCTATGGTAGTTTTGAGCTTGAACTGCAGCGGTACTGTTGGAGGTTAAAAAAATCCCATTCAATTTGTGGTGGAAAAGCATGCTAATTCTGTAAGGCACAAATGTTACTGTTGTGGTGATTGCAAAAGAGTATAACTAAACATATAGTTGTACTACAGAAATAAGCCTTACTGCTATGACTGGGGAAATCTGTCCCACCTGTGGTATATAGGCCAATTTTTCGCTGCAATGTTTTGTTCCAAGCCCCACTTGAATGTCCTGTTATCTCTATTTAATAGACAGCTATAATACTGACAGTGTGCTCAACATGCTGCACGTTGTTAAAATTGTCAGGCCAGGGAATGCAAGAGTAAGAGAAAGGGAGACCACATGATCAAATGAAAAAGAGCTTTCTGGATCTCAGTGAGAGCTTCACTTTATCACAATGAATAAACTGAAAATTTGGTAAATCTGAGAAGGGACTTTTCCATCTCATGATGAGAAAATGAGAGATCCACTCAAGCTTGTTTTTGCTGATTTGCATCCAAAAGGAATGAACAGTTTTTTTTATTTTCAAGAAAGAGTATCCCTATGGCCAAACCGTTAGTCCCTGGGTCCAGTAGGAACCCCACATTAAAAGGATCAAGTATGAGATTTACTATATCATGTTAATAATGCTTAACCTCAGGTCAGAGGGTTTTTTTCAGCTTTCCACAAAAACAAAACAAATCCCAGGCAACATGGGATTGACCCAATTTTCATTGTGTTTTGGCAGCAAAAAAGGAAGAGTTCGGGGACTGTAGAGTTTAGTAACAACACAGCTCTTTTACCCATATGAGCTGGAGATCTGGCTTGGGAGGCTGGAAGATACAATGGGGAATTTTCTTTAGCCAGAAATGTGATTTTGTCCCCCTCCCCACACAACCTTCATTTTTGCAACAGAGACATTGAGGATTCCAGAAGCTACAAGAATTACTGAGATGGGCAACACTATTTCCTAATGTGCCACAACACAGAGTTCGGAAAGCTCTACTCTAAGATGCCCTCATTAAAGAACACAAACCCACAAATTCCTCACAAGCTCCATCAATTTTTCTAAAATCAAGAATACTGTTATCAAGTTCTAATGCTGTTCTTCAAAGACCAAATGTAGGAGTGAAGTTATTTAGACACCCTAGTATTTTCCCACTTATTTACAGAACTTCCATAATAAAAAGGCCCTTGGCTTCACTGGCCAAGATTAAGAAGAAGGCCCACAAGTTTTGTTCTGTTCTCACTGGGAGGCCAAGTTAGTGTGCACCATGATCATGACCTTTCTCAGATCTGGGGAAAAGTGGGATTTTGCCTCCAAAGCCATACTGACTTTCACAGGAACCAGGGTCATTCTGAAACAGAGTGTAAGTGAAGAATTGATTCTGTCCAGTGAAATTCAGCTGCTCTTAGATCAACAAGATAAATCTTAATTTGAAGTGCAAGAGATACATGTATCAGGTGTAAAGAGATCAGACTACATACAGTTCAGATTAGTGTACAATTCACAGAGTTTTGTAACTCTATAAATGGAATCCAATGCACATAGATTATTTATGAAGCTATTCCTTGTCATGGAAAATGTTTAGCACTAAATAAAAGGCTTCATTATGTGATCTATGAAACGAAAGCTCTGAGATTTTGGGTCATGTGATTTTAATGCTTATATTAATATGTTTTTAATCCCTTGCTTTAAAGTTTAAATGTAGTTATATTCTATGATTTAATTGATAGTTTTATGTTACTGTTGTTTTATGTTAGGTTTTCATGTTTCATAAGGCATTGAATTTTGCTGTGAATAAGCTGAAAACCACTTTGAGTCCCCCCAGGATGAGAAAAACAGTATATAATATAAATATAAGTAAAGTAATAATATAATGTATTTTGATATGACCCCATCTCTATTGGTGCCCTGTTTGTGAACTCTTAGTGGTAGTTTACTGATCACTGTGGGGATAGAAAGGGACTACACAAAGGAAGGAATGGAAGGGGAAGAGAAGAAATGGCAAATTCCCAGTGACTGTACTATAGCAGAAGACAGGGCTAAAGACACAGGGTGGGTCTAAGGGCAGAGTAGATGGACCAAAATAAAATGGGTGGAACCAAATGTAATATCTAGCAAGTTGGATATTTACCCAACTAATCATACCAAAAAAAACCCTCAGTTTTATGCATGTCTAATTAGAGTTAGTTCTGGTTTTGACATTTCTCATTAAGATTCACAGCTTTGTTCTATGCGTGGTATTTACGTTTTAGTGTTTGAGTAAAACGTAATTATACTAAGCCTTTCTATCTGTATAAGGTAAACAGGTAAGCTGTATACTGCAAACAGGGAATAAGCCATTGCCTGCTTGAAAGTGTTGAGAGATGCACTCCAGCAGAACAGAAAAACATGAAAGTAATTTATAGATCTTGTTCTTATTTTTATTTCATTTACTATATTTCTATCCTGCTCTTCTCACCCCAAAGGGGACTCAGAGCAGCTGACAGTTTGGATCAATCCGTATGACCAGGCTCCTAAATAAAAACAAGATCTGTAATGCTGTTCTAAGAAGGAAAACTGACCAAAATTGTAGCCAACATATAAAGACAGAGCATATTAAAAGGTATACCACTCATACACTAAGAAAACAGTCAGTGATCTATAAATAGAACTATACAGCCTGACTTCAAATTCTGTGCTCAACAGAATATATTTTGTTTGAAATGTTTCACTTTTCAGATATGACATTTGCCTGAGAGCAAATACATATGTCACAGGGAAACATATAGACTGGTTCTGGATTACTGCCTCTCAATTTAATAAGACAAGATGTGAATATGTCTATTGCCCAAACCCACACTTCCTATGCTCTTCCATCTGTGATGTAAACAAATTAGCTACTCTCTAATCAATCATTTTATATTTGTCCAAGACAGGAAAGCTCAGTTCAACATAACAACTTATATAGTTTAACGTCTTGGACAGCTTTAGAGCTAGTACCCAGTTTCCCAACTGGAATAAAAGGCATACTGTGCTTAGAAACTCTCCAGATTGTAAAAAAGAGGGCGGCACTGCATGTTTGCGGAAAATGTTGTTCATATCTGTTTTGTAACCTGTAATTAAGTAATTTGGAACAACCAAAGTAGTAATTATATTCTGAATTAGGATGTCTATGCATATTTTTGTTGTCATTTGAAGCATGTATATTAACGACTTTGCTCTAGATCAGGGGTTCCCAACCTTTTCTTGACCAGGGACCACTTTGACCAGGGACCACTTTCCAACATTAGTACCAAAAGGGTTACAAATAAGTTTTCTGTCAACTTTAGATTTGATTTGGTTATTTGGGGTGCCTATTCAGAAAATTGTACTGGACAAGCCACATCAGCTCTAGTTTCTGATACAGAAAATATGCCATCCAGTAGTCGCCATCTGCTCGCCCACAGAAAACCATATTTAATAATATAGAGCTGATGTGGTCTATCCAGGGGGGAAGTGCTGGGCAGCAACAGGGAAGGAGTGGCAGGCGGCACTAAAGAAGCAGAAATAAAATAATAAAATAAAATAAATTAATAAAGAGGAAGGAAGTTCGTGGATCATATTTTTGTCCTTGCAACCTACTGGTGGTCCACAGCCCGCAGGTCAAGAACCACTGCTCTAGATTTAAGCTGCACCTCATTTATTCTTCATTGGCCTTTGTCTCTGGAGATCTGTATTGAGTTCCCTTCTTGGTTATAGAAACCCATTCTCAATCCCAGGCTCACCACAAGCTGGACATACCTTGAAGGCACACAACAACAAGAACGAAAGCTATTCCAGTGGAACACCAATATAACTATTTTATGAAAACATAAAGTGTTACATGTGGATGCTTATGTAACACACTGCCACATAATCAAATACATAGTTTCAACCCAAAATTCTCAATGTAACTTATATAACAGAATGTGTCAGCAGCCAAATCATATTCTAAAATTTTCCTCTAGAACTGCATCTGTAATCTTCTTTGAATTCTGACTTGCACAAATACAGTACATAATCCCTAAGGAAAACAGCTAGTCTGTTTATAAGCTATGTAAAGTTTACCCTGCAACACATCTTTGAAAGCTTCTTACCGCTTGGTGTTGTAGGCTGTATCCTGTGGGGTCTCTTCCAGCAAAGTCACATATCCCAGGGTACAGGTGAGAATGAACAGGACAGTTAAAGTATGTGCTTCCCTGTTGACAGGAGGAAAAAATAAAGCAGGTTATCCTCCAATGTGATTTACCAGTGGCACAGTATTTTCTGCAAACTAATATTGTTTTATAAGTCACATTTCCAGACTTAAAGAGGTTTGCATTAAAATGTATTAAATATAACACTAAAAATAGAACATGCTATAATGCAGTCAAATAGACCAATTTAGAGAAGCCACCACAAACAGCCTCTCCAAACCTAAACAGGGAATTGCTTGTGGGCTCTGTTGGAAGGTCACAAAATGGCTGGGAATTGTGTAGATCTCCAGATGTTTCTATAAGCCAGGCATAGGCAAGCTTTGGCCCTCCAGGTATTGTGGACAATTCCTACAATTCCTAACAGTTGGTATGCTGTTTGCCCAAGCCTGCTATAAGCCATGGTAGCTATGACTAATGGGAGCAGGCAGCCCACAAATACCTGAAGGACCACATCATTCCCACCCCTGCTGTAAATTAAGAGCAACTTCTGCTCCCCACAGATAAAGCCTTCCTGGGCTTATAAGTCTTATAACAGCCCTGCTATTCCTTATTACAATTTTTACTCCACATAATCAGGAACTATGAAGCATGTCCTGATTTAGAAGATTATAACCATCATGTAGTACTAAGCATATGTTGATAAGATCTAAAGTATGGTGAAAAGTAATAACATCTTTACTGGTCTCAAAAGAACATAGGAAGTTAGAGTGAAAATCATACCTACTTTTCTCATTTCCTATATTAATGGGGTGGAACAGCACTCTATACCAGGAGTCCTCAAACTAAGGCCCGGTGCCCGGATATGGCCCTCCAAGGTCATTTACCCGGCCCTTGCTCAGGGTCAACCTAAGTCTGAAACTACTTGAAAGCACACAACAACAACAACAACAACAACAACAACAACAACAACAACAACAACATAGAATCACAGAATCATAGAATCAAAGAGTTGGAAGAGACCTCATGGGCCATCCAGTCCAACCCCCTGCCAAGAAGCAGGAATATTGCATTCAAATCACCCCTGACAAATGGCCACCCAGCCTCTGCTTAAAAGCTTCCAAAGAAGGAGCCTCCACCACACTCCGGGGCAGAGAGTTCCACTGCTGAACGGCTCTCACAGTCAGGAAGTTCTTCCTAATGTTCAGATGGAATCTCCTCTCTTGTAGTTTGAAGCCATTGTTCCGCGTCCTAGTCTCCAAGGAAGCAGAAAACAAGCTTGCTCCCTCCTCCCTGTGGCTTCCTCTCACATATTTATACATGGCTATCATATCTCCTCTCAGCCTTCTCTTCTTCAGGCTAAAAATGCCCAGTTTAGAAACAACTGCTCTACACAATTGGACATTTCCAAGCAGTCTTCAAAAGCAGTATCACAAAGCATACACTATTCATTACTCAATAATGCAAATGCATATATTGTAAGCATGGAAAATCTCTCTACCCTCACTCTAAGGGCCACAGACCCTTCATAGCTGCTGCTGATAAAAGACATTCTTGGCTACTAACCATTATTAGAAATCAAACCCAATCTACTCTGAATGTATGCAACTTCAACTCAAGGAAGAGAGAGTTTCAATCATTTTCTGTTTTATTTTAATTCATAATTGATTTATTTAACAGCATTAACAACTTCCAGATATTGTATTAAGGAAGCTACCTGTTTACAGCTAGAGAAATACAGACCTAGGTGGCATCGGAGTGTTGACTGTAACTAACTCCACAGCTCTAGACATGACTCTCAGAAATGCTTCATTTAGGTATGAAACAGAAGCTCTTCAATGACCAGTGAACATGGCAAGATATAGACTACTGGAGCTGCAGCTGAAACAGCATAATAAGATGCCCATTTTGCTTTGGAAGAATGACATGAGTTGTACTATCAAAAGCCACTGAGAGACTCAAACAGAATCAACAAGGAAGTATTTGTTTTGGTCAATCTTTAGCTCAGTAGGAGACCAAAATAGTGTACCATAATCTGATTTTAAAAGCATGTTGCTTCTCACAACAAATTGTAAATCACAGTGCAACTAATTGTGTAGTTGAACTTTGTGCTATTAACTGTATAAATATCTGCCCTTATTTTTCAGATGAGAAGTTGTAGAGCAGTGGTTCTTAACCTGTGGGTCCCCAGATGTTTTGGTCTTCAACTCCCAGAAATCCTAATAGCTGGTAAACTGGCTGGGATTTCTGGGAGTTGTAGGCCAAAATACCTGGGGACCCACAGGTTGAGAACCACTGTTGTAGAGGATGAGGCTCCATTTTAAGGCGTTTCAATCATTTGCAACACATTGACAATAACAAGGAAGTTTTATTTAAGCTATGAAAAGAGCACATATGTACTTCTAACACAATGAATGACCAACACAAGAATACATGCAACTTTTCAATATCATTCTTACTACAATATAAAACTGATAGGCAACAAAGCTGCACAACTGCAGACCCAATACAGCTATTTAAAATGTATGTCATTAAATGCAGTTTCTCTGTAACAGGTATAAAGGCAAAGTTCCTAAATGGGTTTGCAAGACAAAAAAATGAAAACAAGAAAGTATAAAATACAGTTAACGACAGCACAAACATTTATATCAGCTACAACATACAAAATCACAAAAAAGCTGTGCCTACATTAAATTAAAAACAGTCTAGTACAATCATACTTTTAAGGACCAATTAAAATAGGAAAAGAGTGTTGTGCACATCCTGGGGTAAGGTATGCAATAAAGATGGGTTCACTAACATCGTGCTGACAAAGACAATAAGCTTTCAAAGGGAGAATATTCCAAAATGGAGCCTAGCTACAGAAAATGCCCCTCCCTTTATAATATATTAAATCAAAACAAAAATCTTAATTATGGTCATAGACCAGCATAATTACTATATCAACTGAAATCCACTTTATCTAAAGACAGAATTGCTACCTTCTCTTCTTTAGACATTATAAAGTCTAAAGAAGAGACTGTAGGAGACAAAATCAAAATGATAGCAGCAGGCCCATCTTAAATTGATCCTACAAATACAGTAGTAAGTTTAATGCACAGTAATAGTTGTAGAAGATAAACCATTCTCTTGATCCATATTTGTGTTTGAAAGCTGATTTTCAAGAAACTCTTTCTTTTAGTGAAACTCAATAGCAAGAAGCAGCATTCCTCATCTCATTCCACTTTGTAGAGATTCAGTATCAACCATGCTAGGTCATATTGCTGTTACATCTACTTTAATCTTCAGCCAAGTCCAACTGAAGACTACCCTTATAGATTGCTCTCTATCTAGAAGACATCGTAAATCTTTTTTTTTTCACACATAAAATATAAAAAATACAACTTTCACAAATTAAAGGGGAGCGTGGTGACTTCTAAGATCAAATGATGTTGATCCAACTGATCAAATCCTTTCAAACCAAAATACCAAGGGAAATTGCAATATGTACTTCATGAGTTATCTATTTTGTTGGAGATGCTGCTGAAGTGTCAGCTAAGCTCTGCTGTACTAAAGGAATTATGCTGTCATCCATAACTGATGTTGTGAGTACTCAATGTGAAGTTCTGCATAACAATGACACAAGACACAATAGTGTTATTCATAAGAGCCCCCTCCAAGTGAAAGCACTATGTGAGGAGGGGACAACAGTACTACACACACTGTGCGTATTCTGCCAATGTCCATCTCCAACATCTTAAGCAAACAAAGAGAAAGAAGAAGAGCTGATAAATTCTGATTTATTATCACTAAATATTTGAATTTTATACCTACTGTATATACCTATACACCCGGGGGTGATGTAAAAATTTCTAATGTGGAAAGGGGTCATGAGTGCAAAAAGTTTAAGAAGTCCACATTTACTACTGTCTGGTCAGAATGTTCTTTTATGGCTCTCAGAAGAAAATCTCAGTCTCTCTGATCACCATCACATGTAATCATAGCTTTATATCTTCCGTGAGCATAAATGAAAATCAAACAATGGTCAAAGAACTGAATGGAAATCCTTAACTTGCTAAAAAAAAAATAAGGCCAGGGAACTATGGTGCTGTCCAAGGAACAGTACTGTGGTGGAACAACCAAAGATTACCAGTAAGATATACAAGCTTCACACTAACTAGCATTGGAAAAACCATCAAGTGAAAATGTTACTAGTTTTCAATTGAAACAGTGGCACTATGCCAAAAACGTCAAGAAGATCCAATTACAGTCAAGACTTCTGCCAACACACAGCCTGTGCCCAGAAGGATGATGAAAGACACTGCTCAAAAAACAGCTGAGCTTATTATACTCTAGAGTAGGCAACTAACTTCCTAGATCCCCATAATCTAGGCTCTAAGTTCCTAGGTCAAAATGCAACCACTTCTATATCCTCTACTAACTGTTTTCCAAGATTGCAGAAATGTCACTTGGTGTCAGGGGATCCAAAAAGATCAACACATTACTGCTAAGACCAGAGGGATCAGAGACAAGCTCCAAGCAAGCCAGGTCCTTTTACCTTTTTCAGAGCCAGGAAAAGTATTCTCCCTGTTGTCTTTGAGGAGGATTTTTTTTTAAATCTCACATCTGTTTTCCTCCTCATGAATTACATGTGTACCACAAAGAGGAAAAATTTTGCCATACAACTGGAAGCCACACTGATGATATACAAAGTGACAGCAAACAAAGCCACTACAAGAGTTTTTTCAAACAGAGCCAGAGTTGTGAAATGGCTTGAGCAGTGGTTCTCATCCTGTGGGTCTCCAGGTGTTTTGGCCTACAACTCCCAAAAATCCCAGCCAGTTTGCCAGCTGCTAGGATTTCTGGGAGTTGAAGGCCAAAACATCTGGGGACTGACAGGTTGAGAACCACTGGGCTTGAGCGTTGGACTAGAGATACATCTACTACACTGTAGAATGCATGATGTTAGGCATCACTTTAACTGCCATGGACCCTGGTCTTTAGCCTTCTCTGTCAGAGTGCTCGTGTCTCACTAAACTACAGATCCTTAAACCCCTAGCACAGAACCACGGCACTTAAAGTGGTGT